TCTGTCTCTGTGCTAGCTTTCAGTCTCGGCCAAAAGAATCACATCTTACTGTTGTAAAAAGAATTTTGAAATACTTGAAAGGAACCAAGAATCTTGGTTTGTGGTATACAAGTGGTTCGAACATTTTTCTTGAGGAATATAGTGATTTTGACTTTGGCGGTTGTAAACTAGATAAAAAGAGCACTAGTGGCTTAAGAGTCAAGCTAAGATGTTGTCTAGTTTCTTGGCATTCAAAGAAACAAGCTTGTGTGACTTTATCTACCACAAAAGCTGAGTACATAGTAGCTGGAAGCTCTTGTGCTCAATCTCTTTGGATTAAGAGTCAACCAGAGGACTATGGCATATCATTAGATCATATTCCCTTAAAGTGTGATAATACCAGTGTAATTAATTTGACAAAAAAATCTTGTTCTTCACTCTAAAACTAAGCATATTGAAATAAGGCATCATTTCATACGAGACAACATTCTCAAGGGTGAAATTAAGGTCGAATATGTAGATACCTTACATCAATGGGCAAATATTTTTACAAAGCCTTTCAACAAAGAGAGATTTTATACCATTCGAAATGAACTGAGAATTTTGGATGACAGTAGTATAAAATAGATTAAATCGATTACATTGTGCTTGTATGCGAATGAATTATTGATTACTGTTACTTTCATACATTTGCATACTCACAAACTAATTCCTGTATAACATTGATTCTAAAATGCTTGATTTGGAAAGACTTAGAAAAGTTTTGCAGGAATATCACTTGCTGATTGGATGGAACTAGATAATTTGGAATATGCTACAACAAGAAATCGAATCTGACTAAGATCAAATCGATTAAACATCAATAGGAGTTTAAAGATTCCAAAACTGCAATATCTTATATCTTTAGATCTTGTATTCTTATATCTCTATGCTTATCTCCTGCATAAAATATCTGAGATAATAAGAGATTAAAATGTGTTCTTTGATTGAATCAGTATCACTATGTTATTACTGTGATATATCTGATCTGATACAATGTTATTACATGTTGATAAATGCTCTGACATATTCTCATTACTGCATTGTGCATATGTATTTTGAGATTGAAATATGCATAATGACAGGGAGAGTATTGCATATCACTGATATATTTCACATGTCTTCATTTAAGGGGGAGATATCTTAATTTCATGTGAATATCTTTGACAAAGGGAGCATCATTACTTGTTTTATGATTATCTGATGCATCTCTATATGCTTGATTATCTGTATATTAATACCATTATGCTTACCTTTTTTGCTGATGCCCAAAGGGGGAGAATTATGTTGGTTGGTAATTGATTGATAATCTGTATTGAGTTGTGCAACATGGTTGATTATTAATTATGGTTGTGCATCATAAAAAAAGGAGGAAATTGTTGACATTGTTGATAGGGGGAGCACTGGTTTAGCTAAACCCACAATATTAGTAATATTTGAATTTTTGATGATGACAACACATAATTAATAACACATGTGTTTTATGTGTTACATGTTCTAAGCTTACATGTTATATGCGTATATGAGAACATGATTGTGTTGTTGTTGTGTTGTTCATTGCATTTCATTGTGTTATATATGTGATTTTATACATGAATGCATGACACATGTTTTTGGATGGAAAAACCACAAGCACTAATATTGATCTTTAAATGTGTGGCAAAACAATAGTTTGAAATCGATTACATAATGGGGTGAATCGATTAAAACTCGTGTATTTGCACAAACTTTTTCAAGTGTGCTCTGAGATTTTTTCAAAGAGAAAAGTTTTCAAAACATTGCATAACATTGTTGTTTTATCGATTGCATGCGATATGTATTTTCAATTAAGTTTGTTACTGTTTTGAAATCTGTTAATGCTTGATATAACTGTCACAATGGCTATATATTTAAATGTGTTGACCAAGCATTAAATGTTATTTGACTGCATTAATTGTGAATTCAATCAATTGCTTTGAGTGATACTATCTGTTATAACTGAATTGGTGTATTTGAATGCATTAGTAGCAAAGTCGATTATGTTGCGTCTAATACGAGTCCATCTATATATTGACGCGAATTTGATTTCTGTATAGACTTTTGTGATTCTAACATTTTCATATTCTTTTGCAGAAAAGTGAAAAGTTTACAGAAAGAGAAAAAGCTTCAAGAAATTACTTTGACCATGGTGATCAACTAATTGTGATTTCTTGAAGAGCAAGAATTGCTAAGTTTTCAAAGTCTGATTTATCTGCACATTTGGGTGTCTACTGCAAGATCAGGTTCTACAATCTGCTGAAGATTGGGTTGAGTTCCCTATTGTGATTACAAGAAGAAGGACGTGTTGCGTTCTTGAATTTGAGGGTGCCTAAAAGGGGTTGGACTTCAGGAGAGGGGATTCTTGCTGCTAGTCTGTTTGTGTATTACCTATATTTTGATTAGAGGGTTAGAGAGGTGTTTTATATTTTTGACGTGAGGTCTCTATAAAAACCTTGTTGTAAAAACCTTGATCATTATAGTGCATTAGCTTCCTGTGGTTGGAAGGACACTAAATGTAGGCTTGGTCGAACCAGTATAAAAACTCAACGTTTGATCTTTCTTATCCCTACTCTGTTACATTCAATCGATTATACTTTACACGCATTCGATTAAATTTTTGTTGCATTGAAAATCTTTTAACTTGTGTTTCAAGAAAAGTATAAAGGCATCTCTTTTGGTGAAAAAGATTTTGAAAGTTTTAAATTTTATACTTCACTAATTCACCCCCCTCTTGGTGTGAGAAATTAAGCCATTCCATTTTTACAATTGGCACCAGAGCTGGTTTTCATAAAATATTTGAAAAACTAGTCGATTATTATTTTCGTTAAATCGACTGATCCTGGAAAATGGCATTTGTTTCTCAAATTATGAAAAAAAGTGAATATGTTTTTGAACTAGTGCATCTATCAACACAATATGTCAAATGTGACAATCACAATATGTACACATTCCACAATAAGCATAAACACATATAACATAGTACATACACATGTGTTTTTAATAACAATGTGTTGTCATCATCAAAAAGCAATACGACAGGGATTGGGTTCGGCTATCACAGTGCTCCTCCTATCAACACATACGACAAACTTAGAAGACTCAAGACTCAAGGCCAAAGCTCTATCTAATGAATATATTTTTTAGAAGCCTTTAATTAGAAGATGAGTTAAAGAAATATTCAAAAGAATAGCATACAAAATGAAAGAGCATAAGCAAACATCGTCTAGAGAAAAACTTAAAAAAGCACAAAAACTTAAAAAGAGAATATCTGAGAAAAGAAAAAGCTCATGATTAGAAATAATCTCAAGCTTCATTGATATACAAGCTTACTATTGTAATAAGAAAGAAGAAAGAAAAAAGACTCAACGAGTCTATTAGATTGAATTGTATTGAACTCATATTCTCTCTACGAGAGTATTCATCTAAAGACTTGTAAGAAATCTAATTGATTGCATATTTTGAAGAGAATTCAAAACTCGGTTTAATTGAAGGATTACTAGGCAGCGTATCAAGTTGATACTAGGATCGTCTAGTGGAAATCAAGAGTGGGTGAAACTCAACCAAACAATGTATTTGAAGGATACCAAGAGCGTCTAGGGATACCAGGAATGGTGAAGAATACTGCGCAACTAGGAGTGGGTGAAACTCAACTATATAGTGTATCTGAAGGATACCAGAAGCGTCTAAGGATACCATGAGTAGTGAGAATACTTAGTTGTAATCTTGTTGAAGATTATAGTGGAACCCTCTACGGTGTTAGAGGAGAGTGTATGTAGCTTAGGTGAAGCGAACTAGTATAAAAACAATTGTGTGCTTATTGCTTTATTATCTTTAAGCGCTTCTCTTACAATCCTACAGTTGCACTTTATTTTGATATAAAAACTTCTTACATTAAATGTCTTTTTGTTAAAAAGGAAGTTTTATTGAAACATTACAACAAACACTCCTTATCAGCTAAAATGCACTTGAAACATATTTATTGTTTGAACTGATTTCAAAGTCGAGTGTTTAACCATTTATGTAAAACCTTTGATCCTCGATGGAAGTGCTATATCATAACTATTGCGAAAAAGTTTTCCAGTAACACTATTTAATCCCCCTTATAGTGTTTTTCAGGTACTTCATGTGGTAGGCTGACACATATCGGCCATACCACTTAGTAGGTGGTTCATGATTATTTTTGGTAAGTGGCAGACGATAACAATATAAGGCATGTATCCCTCGGCAAGAGGCACACATCCATAACAAGAAACACTTAATCTTTGGTAGGAAGCACACAACATTTGGCATGCAACACATTCTTTGATAGTTATATCTCAATACTTGGCAGACAACTCTTGACCTTTGGTAGGAAACCCTCAACTTTCGATAGGCAACTATTAACCTTTGATAGGTAGTACTTAGCCTTCGACAAGCGACAGTTAACCTAAGTAGCATTTAATATTTGGTGGGTAACATTTGACTTTAGTAGGCAATATCCAAGTGTGTTGTGTATTAATGTTGTTTTGAACATTTTATACATTGTAAAGAAAATGTATATGTATCCTAAAAGTGAGATAATGCATGATGTGTGTTATGGATGCTCAAAGTATGTTATTTTCAATAATTGATTGTCAATCAAGTTTGTTAAAAATAATAAAATGATAAATGCTTAAAATAAAGTGAGAAAAATTTAAAGAGGATATTATCTTTTTTTCATTTATCTTAAATAACANTTTTTCAAATTAATTTTACCTATATTAATATTGTATTACATAATTTATTTAGATTATATTTTTAAGATAAAATTGTTTATTTGAGATTATATTTTAAAAATAATGTACAAATACTTTTATTTAAAATAAAAAATATATAAAATTTTATAAATATCCACATCTATAAACAATTTGCCCAGTGTGAACACACAAATATTTTATATCAGAACAAACAAATGAGAAGGAGCCACTGGCAACTAACAATATATTCATCTTTATTTACTCCTCGTAGAACCACACCAACACTCTCTTTCTTCTGCTAAGATCTGATTCACATCTTCAACTCTATGTTACGAAGAATACTCTTCCAACTACCAACTTTCTCTCTTGCTCTCATCCTCTGCAGAAACTGATTTTCTTAGATAAGCTCGGTGCAACACAATCTGTAAGTCTTCTTCTATTCACAGTATATACTCAACACACCTTTGAGCTTGCACATCTCTCTTCCTACCTTTTTCATTATTTAACTTCTTCAACTTTTCTTAATTATAAGGCTTTGAGAATTATTTCTCCAAAGAACCCTGTAAAAGACTCAGATGCATTATGTGAGAACTGTAAAATTCATACAAGGTAAAAGAACCTCTCTATCTCTATATAAAGTCATGTGTCTACACTTTCACTGCAGGACAGTTTTTGTTTTGTTTTTCTTTTATTATTTATGTTCATTATGCTTTACTTAGTTTAAATCATGGCTAATATTGATATTATTTTTGTGAGCATCTTTCTTGTTTAAGAATAAATATGTGAAAGAGCAGGAACAAGAAACGCAATGAATTTATTTAAAATTGTAATATTTGTGTGCTCTTTTTATTTGTTTGTGATGCATCCTTGATACTCTGAAATATAAATAAGTTGTTGAAATCATAAATAAATTATTTAAATTTTATATGTAGAAAAACACATTATGATAAAAAAATGTTTAAACAGACAACTATTAATAAAAAAAAGCAGTAAGTTGAAAGACTTCTTGAGACACGCAAACCCAATGGCATAAGCCACCATTATTTCAATTATTATTTTATTTCCTCTAAGAGATATTGGCCCCATCACGCCCAGAATTTATCAACACTTATTGTTGTAACAATCATTTAGAACAGGAATATTTTGATATCCACCAAAAACATGTAACTAAATTTTTTTTTTACAACTTAGAATAATATTTTAAAATTATATTTATTTTATTTTTAATTAAAACTATAATATATATTATTGTATTGTTAACAAAATTATAAAATGAGTAATTATTTTTAAAGGATATAAAAGTTTTAATATTTGGCATGCTATTAACAACAGAAAGTTGTGGAAATGTAAAGGGTTATATATGACCTACTATTTTGTCGGTAGCATTTCTTATAATATATATTTTGTCCAAACACGTCTGAATGAGACCAGACCTAATGTAGGATAATAAACAGAGATGGGCAATAGATTCAAAGAATACAATATAATAATTGTGTCTGACAGCTGTTGCCATATAATCGTGGTTAGGAAGAATAAATATTAGAATTTAAGTATTATTTACGGACATAACTTGATTTTAAAATACCATCAAGACCAAAGTTAATGATTAAGAATCTACATAAACAAAGTTGGAACAGTTCCTCCTCCTCAGAAGCCTTTTCCCTTTTTATGTTTACTTTTGTAATATGTTTCTAAATTATAAAACAATTTGCAATTTTCTAATATAAAACAATTTGCAATATGTTTCTAAATTTATAAAACAATTTGCAATATGTTTCTAAATTTGTAAAACAATTTGCAATATGTTTCAAGCGTGAACAAATCAGAAGGACACACACTCTCTTTCTTATGCTAAAATCTGATTCACATCTTCAACTCTGTGTTATAAGAGGGACCCACATGTACAGCTAGCCCTAAATTCATCCTGATTTCTTTATTCCTCACAGTAACATCACTCACTCACACTCTTCAAAAACGGTTGAAATGTGAGTTAGAAAGAAGCCAAGTCCTGAAGCTACCAACACTATCTCAGTATCATACTCTTCAAAAACTGATTTTCTTAGATCACTTAAGTGCAACACAATATGTAAGCCTCTTCCTTCAACAGATTTACGGTGTCGAGAGTGATTCTTCGATTTCTTTTAACGGATTTACATAAAAGAGAGGGTTGGATTTTCATTTTCACAAAATAAAAAATTGTTTAATGATTTTGTAGGTTCTATTTTTAAGCCAGACTCTCAAATATGATCAGTATTTCTCAATTGAGTCCTTATTTTTTTAAAATTTAAAATAAATAGAGCCTACCGTTAAATTGGAGAAACGTGTCTGAGTGACCATTACGTGGCATGCTGACAGTAATATTTTAAATGACGTGACATGATATATATGATAATTAGATGATTGTGACGTGTAATTTCTAATTTTTGAATTAAAAAATTAGGAGAATTGTAATTTAAGATAGCTCGTTTCTCTGTAATTCACATTTGTTTAATCAACTTCGTTTTCCACCTCTAGAGACTCTAATTCCCTTTCCCTTTCTTGTGCTGTCATCGTGAAACCTTAACCCCTGCCATTACCTCACTAACCATCCACATTGGAACCATCAACCTTCTCAACACCATGCGTCGCTGCCACAAAATCTCATTTCTCAAGACATCATGCTGCCATTAGCCACCACTTGCAACCACAACACAAAAATCGTCGTTGCGAAACCAAATCACCATCATCATCTTTGCCCAACCTTCATCGCGATGCACATCCATCATTCTCACCATCATCGGACCTGCAAACCCAAATCGCTTCAACGCGCCACCACTAAATCCTCAGGTCGTTGCCATGATTAACCCTAATTCGCGCCTCCTTGCGGTTAAGATCCAACAACCTGCAGCAAAATCAAAAACCCAGAGAACTAACATAGGAACTCAAAATCGCGAAGCAGAGAGAACCAAGATCGCAAACAACTACTCAATCGCGACCTCCATGCACGAACCAAGTGAAGCCATCGCGGCTTCTCCTTCCTCGACCAATCGCGAAAACCAACGCGCCTTCAAAGCAGAAAGAATCCCTAATTGCAGAAACTCCCAATTCGCGAAGCCACTTCGCACATCCTTCATCTCCATTGCCTTCATCACAAACCCAAACTCCTTGACTACCCATCAAACACAAAACCAGAAACTTCTAAGAATCCTCACACTTTTCCCAAATTTGATTAAGCAAATGTGAATTACCATTTTTTAATTATGTATTAACCAAATTGCTGAGAAAGGAGTTGCCTTCAATTATAATTTTCCCAATTTTTTAATTCAAAAATTAAAAAATACACGTCACAGTAATCTAATTACTATATATATATATATATATATATATATATAT